CACATAAACAAGCTATTTATACAAGTCGATCTTTGAATTTTCAAAAACTTCCTAAACCAGTAAATTCAGGTAAGCATATTATCTCTCAAAACATTGGCCTTAAATTTATATTTTAATGTGCAATGTCTCTATGTAATGAATAGTTCAAGAATTAAATTGTTTAAGGTCTTTTGCATTGAATATCTTTTTTTTGTGAGTTATAGGAAGTTAGACAAACTAATTCTTAAACTTATTTTTCTAGCAATAAGTCACTCTATTGAGCTTAATGAAGTGCCCGATATATAATTGGCTAAATTTTCTATATTGTCTGAGTTTTGGTGAAGGCCGAAATGTCTCATAACATTAAAAATAAAATAAATAAAATAAAAATCAGCCGAAAGATGTTTATAAAGTAGATTTGAATTCTGAAGCTTTTAGTATCAATATATTTTTACCTTTGTACTTCGATACATAATTCACACAATCGTTAAGAGGTGTTTAACTATTCATATTTCTACCGGTCAAGAACTCATTAAAGGTATCATGAGTAAATGCTATTAATACTACAAGTTTTAAATTTAAATTTTCTTAGACGTGTTAATATACGTAAATATGTCGTATCTAAAGTTACTATCTATCTGAAGTTGCAACTTTAGATATGGGAGCTCGTCAGTAGAAAAGGCATAAAAAGTTTTTAGTGACTTTTTTTAAAAATTTAAATCAAAATACTTAAATCAAATTTAATAAAAATTTTTTTATTTTAATTTTATATTTATATAGAATTAAAATAAAAAAAAAAATTATTAAATTTAAGATTAGTAATTGATAAGATATTTTAAAAGTTAGAAAATTTTACATACCGTATAGGCGCGTAATAACGCGCAGGGGCGCGTTATTTCGAACCCTACGCGTTATTTCGGGACGCGCATGCGCGATAATTCGAATAATTATCCTAATTTTGAAGAAAAATGTTACAACTGTTAAAAGCTTATCTGAGACTATATATGTGGGGCGCGTTATTTCGGAACGCGCATGGGCGTTATTTTGAGTCAAATATGCGATTTTCAAAAAAATGGAATTTTCGAAATAACGCCCATGTGCGTTATTACGCGCCTATACGGTAGAAACTTTTTATACCTTTTCTATTGACAAGCTCCCATATATAAAGTAGATCTGACTAAAATTAAGCCCCTGATATTAGATCTTCATACATATAATTCCGGTTAGGTACAACTTTATATATCTAAAGTTGCGATTTAAGATACGACAAATATATATTTTGTAAATTGGTCATGTCAACCAATCAAATTTCAAACTGATTTCATTAATACGCAGTTTTAAAATACCATAAGATACTTCAAAGGTTTTTGTGTAAGAGGAAAAAACATGGACCATTTAAAAATATGAAATAATAAAAATTTTTGGTAAAATGAAGAATGTCAGTTATATTTTAGGATATAATTGTTAGCTTAGAAGCGAAAACTGTCTTTTCTTACAAAACATCTAGATGTCCTATATTTCATATGTGCTGCAACTTGTTGATCCTTAATTAAATCATTACCCTTGAAATGCGTTTTGTGGTTGGACTTTTATTCTTTTATGTTTCGGTACTAGCTTTTCCTTTTGTGCTTCCATAATACAACAATAACCAATAAAATTTCTCCATGTGGCCAATGTTAAAATTTGCTAATACTAAAAAAATTTGGGAAATTTTTGTTTGGATCCAAATTTATGCCGATCTCTGTCGCCACTATTAAATTATAAAGCACTTTCAGAAAAATATCTATACGTGTAATATTATCTTTTCGAATGAGCCTGGATACTCATATCTATCATCTTTATAAAATATACAAATAGATATACTGTACATTTTCAAAAGTCAAAATGGGTATAATCGAGTAGGTTTAATATTCAGATAAAGTTTTGGGCAAAAACAGAAAAAGAAAAAGGAAATGATGAATCTTGTGAAAAAAACAATTACGGAGCAATTTATGGTAAGTGATAAATGGTCAACATAGTAAAACTTATTCTAATCCTAAATTCTATAATTTACCTAAACATAGCAATCCGCGAAAAATAATAATAATAATAATATTTAGAAGCATTAACATACTGTATATTTCGTTATTACAGACTTAGGAAGATCAATTATCAAGTGGATTTGTAATGAAAAGATCGGCAGTTAATCCTAAACGTACCGGGAAATATAATATACCTTTATGCATAATATGTATATTACAGTATTATATTCAGTAATAGGAATTTCTGTGACCAATTATTTTGTGTCACAGTTTTAGTAATATTTATTTCTATCGGGATCAGAACACCTGATTGTCTCACATTCCATTCTCACTTTTTTAATATGGTTTATCGACTCCCACCTGAAGTTCTACAAAAAATATTTTGCAATATTAATGATTGCGATCTATATCCATGTGTGTTACTGGTAAATCGTCAATGGTGTGCTAATGCGGTTTCTTTAATTTGGAGAGAAACTCTCAATAAACCTATGGGAATACCATCATATTATAAATTAATTCAGATCTATGTTGCATGTATGCCTGATGGATCAAAAACTTTACTTAAAAATGCAGGAATAGGACCAACTACTTCACTATCAAATACAGTTACTTTATTTAATTATGCATCTTTCTTAAGAAAAATTGAATTAACATCTATATATGAAGCGGCTACTCTTTGGGTATCTGCTAATTCTGGTTCGAATAGTAGACTTAAAAGACTTGGTAGATTTGATCATGATAGCTTAGATAATGTTAATGAAAATGATCCAGAAATTCAAAAATATGAACAAATGCAAGAATTATTTTATCGAGAATTATTGAAACTTTTTGTTTCTCTATGTCCTAGTTTGAGATATAGTATAATAATTCGAAACGTTATTTGGAAAGGTGAACTTCAATATCTACGTAATATTTCGGATATAATTCCAACATCTTCACATCTCGATAAATTAGGTTGTTATACATCTTGTCCATCAGATATTTTCGAATATCTCGGTTCAACATTTTCCTCACTTGATCAATTAGATATAGATTGCCGATATGATGATAATGATGGATTGGCATCTTTTATTGATAAAGTTGATTCTTTACAATCATTAACAATAAAGAGAACAGATAATTGTATTCCGAAAGTTATAAAAGCACTTCGAGATAAAGTTAAATCACTTTCTTGTTTGCACATAATGAATGGAGGTTTATTTCCATTAGATATGTTTTCACATTGTCAAAATTTGAAATCATTAAAAATAACGGAAGAACCTGATAGAATTTGGAGAGATTTACGTAGAGAATTTGAGGAATTTGAAGAAAATTTTTTAGAACCATTTATAAAATCTTCAGCATTTAAACAACTTACCTTTATTCAAATTGAAATTGACGATACTATTAATATTTTTCAACTTGCTACTATTATTCGTAATACTAATGGACGACTTTTAGAATTATTATTGAAATGGGTTTATGAGGATGACATAGATAATGAAAATTTATTATATTTAGCAATAATAGAAAATTGTCCGCGTTTAGTAAAGCTTAAAATTCCAACAACAAGTGAAACAATTAGACATTTACCTTCAATTTTTCGATCATGTACACAGTTAGAAAAAGTGGATGTGTTAGGTTTAGAGTTCAAAATAGAAATTAGCGAGTTAATGGCATTATTCGGTCAAACAATTTCTTCAAAATTGAATTCACTTCATTTTGATTCTTGTTTTAGAGTGTCAACAGATTCATTAAATGTTTTTCTTGAATTTTGTTGTCAAAGATCAATTTCATGTTTGGATCTGGTTTTTCAAAAAGCAGAAGACTGGTTCTCCTGTGAGCAAACAAATTTAATTCATCATCACATGAAATTAGGAACTTTGAACGTAACTTCAAATATGTGTTGGCTTAATGAAATAGAATTTCATGATATTTTTGGTGTATGGCCCTATTGATTTTCCAGGTTTGTAAATTTGTCAGTGCAACTATTACTAATGTTTTCTTCATTTACTACTTATTTATATATATATATTATTTCTCTTATACTCAGGTGTCTACAGACATGCATACATTTTAATTTCTTAGACAATAATTCATTCATGCAATATTTAATCTACTTAATCATGTAAGTATTCATTTATGCGCACAAAAAGCGGTTAAAAATGTAAAAATAAATTTGTATCATTGATGCTTTGCAGAAAATCTAATTAATACCTTTTTTGGGTCGATGACGTAGTATGGAATTTTTTACACACATTTATTATTATAATGATAAATTTTACATCGATCAAATTTACTTATCTTTATAGAAAATATGAAAAGCATTCAATTGGTACAAAGCTGTAAAAAAAAGAAAAAAAAAGAACATTCGTTTTAATAGATTTCCGTTTTTAGGAAGTGTATGTATATATCAATTCAATTACATATCATCGTAGAATTCCGTTAATATTGAAAATAAATTTTGTAAAAAAATATATATATTTATTTTTCATATTTAACATCTTAACGTTGTTTCTATGTATGTTTAGCATTTTTAGCTTATTGCTTTTTTATGTTTAGTTTTTTTAGCAGTAGAATTATCTTGGAAAATTTTTAAAAAAATAAAATATACTGTAATTTTAAACTTTATGATAACTTACGTGCAACGTCATTTGAAGGTTGAATATTTACTATTAAATTTTAACTTTTCAGTAAATATTATTATTAGAAATGGAAACTGTTATGATCCGAAGCATAAGTAGACATTGCTACGCGTGTGACACGTGGCGGGTGAAGATTAAAAATTGCGTTTTTAATATTTTCACTAAAAACGAGACTGCCTTCGTAGAGTTTACTAATTTCACCCCAACTTCCCATTGGATTAATACAAGTATCATTTTCCATTGGATGAAACCAATTACATCACTGATCAGGGTGGCTAAAAATTTCATGTAGCCATCTAATGCGCCGCAATTAGGAATAAATTATATACTTAAATAGCAATTCTTGGAGTTCGTGGCGCAGATTTCCTTAACTACAAATCAGATTTCAATATCAGGTGCAACGTAACACGACGATCAAGAAAATTCAAAACAACGTTCGTTTTGTCAATAATCGCAAATTCTGAATAAGAAAACACCATTAGTGCTCTAACAAAAGGTTTTCGTTAGGCAATTTTACTATATAAACTCTTCCTTCTAACTTCTTATTAACTTTAAAATTTTTGTCATGAAAAACTATCAATACGTTGTAAAGCAACCCTAACACTAATATAAACGAACTTTAAAGAATTTTGCTGCGCCACGAACCTGCCACACATTCAAGAATTGCACTTAAATATTAATTTCGCACTAATTACATTGATTAAAAATTTCTTTCGCTGTTTAATACCAACGTTTTGCTCTTTTGAGTTTTAGCACTTTCAAGTTTTTTTAGTAAATAATTTTCTGTTAACGATTGAATAAATTTTCGTCAATTTTATCGAATATTGCTGTAAAAATTTACTGTGTCGTGTAAAATTATTAATTGAAATAAACATACCTACTTTAAGCCATACTGCTACGTATACGAAAATCCGATAACAAAATAAGTATTGATTTTTTTTTTTTTTTCTGTATGTAAATTTATTAATTTAGCAACTTAGTAACATTTATTTCAGTATTACTAATTAGCAAGCTAACAGTGTTGTATCGGGTTACTGTACGATTTCCAAATGTTATTTCCCTGAAAGAATATAATACTGACTAATTATGTCCTTTCGGGAAATGGTTTTTGAGAACTTTAGTTAAATTATTATATTAGTATTAAAAATTAGCAGTTTGCAGTATTGTATCAGTATCAGTATCGACAATTGGAACATTTCAAATATTTATGTCAAAATCGTGGCCCAGAATATAGTTAAGGAATTTTGAAAATTACAAGCTTGCAAACGTAGGTCACAGCAAAATGTTATTCTCTTGAGAATAAAGTACCGAACAAAAACTTTATAAAAATCTTATTTTCGTAATGGTTTAGATTATTCGATTTTTTTTTTTACCAGCAGGAAGTGCATAAATAAAAGAAAAAATCTATTTGTAACTGCCTATTACGCGCTTATTTGTAACAGCCTATTAATGTTAGGGTTATTAATGTTAGGGTTAGCGTTAGGGTTAGTGTTAGGGTTAGTGTTAGGTTAGGTTTAAAGTTAGTGTCAAGATTAATACAAAATTGCGAGAGGATCATTTTTCGTTAATAAAAGAGATTATCTTAGTAAAATTTTGAGTTATAAGCAAACTGTTACAAATAAGCGTGTAACAGGCCGGTACAAATAGATTTATCCTAAATAAAATACTTTCGCTTAATAAAAATATATATATTTTTTTTAAGGTGGTGTGATCTGGTTTATCCAATTAAAGACGGGGTTTCATGCACCCAATCACAAATTGGAGAGAAATTAGGGCTCCCGCCTCTGTATAATCTTTAAAAAGTATCTAGTTGAATTTTATACTAACAGAGTAACTCCGTGGAATATCGTGTGATTAATATATTCTATAGGACATCCCAATTGTATAATATGAAAGAAAGATTTAACCTCAATAAAATGTATTTAGGAAGTGTCATTTATCAGCTGATTTTTTTTAAATAGTAAAATTCCCCCCTAAGCCGATTGTTTTTTTTTAAAGTTCTGATTAACATCAAACGCGCAACTAGAATCATGACTTGTCATGTCAACTATCAGTTGAGCGATAAGTCTAGTTAAATATTCGAATCAGAGATCATTTTTTGGATTCGCGTAGGGATGGATCGGTCTTTGTAAAGACTATGACTGGACCGTAAAAGACTGAAGACCGAATGATTCTCGGCCCTTGGTCCGAGATGATCCAGTCCTGATCCTGATTATCGATAAAGAAAATAAAACGCACATATAAATAATAAAATTTTATTACCCTTTCCAACCATGAGCGATGACAGTAATAAAGTAAGTGTTGAAGTTCCAATTTCAAG